CAATTCATTTATTGAGGTGTGCTTTTGTGAGCCACAAAAATAGATTGGGGTATAAATTGGGGTACCCATAGCAGAGTTGTCCACTATATATTGCATAACATGATTTCTAAGAAATTTTCTTGCTCATCGTCAAACGCGGAGAATGGACACACGTGGCAATAGAATTCCGAGATGTGTACATGTGGAAATCTAAAATATTCTTTATTTGTATGGTGTAATTTTTGTTGATCATATTACAATTTTTCGTAATGGAGGTTGCAAACGGCACTTTCCACTCAGGGAGTGTTTGCAACAGCTTAAAACAAGTACTTCTCAGCTTTTGGTTTAAAAAAAACATTTATTTACCAAACACTACAAACTTTTACTTTTTCTCGGCTTGCGTGTGAAAAGTGTTTTAATTTTCCCTTTTCCAACAGAGTATTACACAAAAAACACTTATTTTACCAAACACTACCAACTTTTACTTTTCAAAATCACTTTTTTCTCAATGTGAGAACTCCGGTACCCATTTAAAAAATAGGGTACCGTACCTACCACTCCCTTGATTTGTCCAAATAGGTATATCATTTTTAATTTAGACTTAAATAATTTAACTGCAACATTCTGATTGGTCCATGTGGACAAAGGTATGGTACCTTATGAGTACCATAGAATCTACCTTTTCTCAAACACTATTAACTTTTACTACTAATCACTTTTTTTTACATCTCCAAAAGTGCTTTTTTTAAGCACAAGCAATTACAAACACTCCCTTAGCAGTTTACAAGATCAAAACGTGCACGTATGGGTGGTTACCTTCATTACAGTTATCATAATGTTTCCCTGTAGATAAATCATGTGCTTAGTCCTTATAAATATTCATTCACGGTGTTGGGGGCCGTAATGTACATGTGAAACTCTCAACTGTTTTTACTAGACTGCTATTACAATTGCTATTTTGAATGTTTTCATTATATAGCGTGTATATATGTATCCTCAGTCCTCTACATGTAACGTTATGAAACTCCATATTCGTCAGATTGTGATTATAGTCCAATTAACATCTTCTCGTCATGTCATCCGGTCGGTGTTGGGTGCCCTCAGGGATGGGGTGTCATCCTCTTTTTTATGAAACTCCATATTCATATTTGTTTGTTACATTAATTTTCTTTATCTATCCCAGTTAATCAGTTATTACATACTCGGGGTAGTATGTTTTATTTTGTTTTACATTGTGTTGTTAGAGATGTGAAGATGTTAATCGGTCAATAGAATCCAAGAGCTCTAAGAAAAATTCGGCACTCCAAGTAAGCCTGGTGCGTAACTATGGTACCAACACATTAAGTGCATTTTTCAAAATCAAGAGGTGCGTTTAAACCTTTTGGTTATAGATTAAGTAGAATAATTCAATCACAATGTAATTCCAGAACAGTAAACATTATTGACATTAATCTAATCAGATTAAAGACTTATGGTACGTTACAACCTTAGTTGACAAATATTTGGTCATTGGGAACAAGCATATTAGCCATTATTTTACTACGTACGTAGTATAATTTTAGGTATTTTTTCAACAAATTATATATGTTCATTTAGTTTCCATCACTTGCAATGGAGCCAAGATTCATTATTTTTTGTCTTGAGAATATGATGGAATAAAGCAAAATGGCTCACCAAACTGTGTGCTCTTCTTTGTTATGAAGCAGCAGTCAGTCCATGCAATTTTGGACGCGATTTTCATTATGGGTCATCCGGAAACAGTCTCTCTGTGCTTTAGTAGAGGGGTAAGACTGCGTACATCCGACCCCCCCTTATCCCACCTTTGGTGGGAGCCTTTGCGGCACTGGGGTAAATGATGATTGATTGATTGATTTAGTTGTTATTTGTTCATGTAATTTACTAATTTATTACGTAGTAATATTCTTCGATTTCTGTACGTCTTAGTTTTTCCACTTCAGATAAGGTATTGTGGATATAATTTTACATTATCCACATAGACATTCAAATAAAAATTGAGCCCATACTTTATAATTACAAAATCCACATATAATTTAGAGTTTGAAGCAAGACATAAAAAAACATTAAGCCGTATGATATGATATACTACGTAGAACTGAACAAAACGAAAAGAAAATATAACAGAAAAATATAGCCAGTATAAACATTGAGATGGAAAAATCATTCAGAATGAGATATACTAGGTACCTATCTTAATATACTAGGTACTAAAAAGTACTACGCATATAACAAAAGTTCGTAATAGTCATCCTTTTACGGATCTTTAGTTCCTTACAAGTCTATTTGTATTGAAATGCATTTAGTTTTTTTATATGTATTATAGCATAATAACTTATAGACAACGTATGTTAAATTTGCCAATTCCAATGTCCTTTGAGCAAATATATTTTACATAATATTTCAATTTCAATATATAATACATAATGAATAAAATATAAAAATATTTTTATCCCGTGCATCGCACGGGTATAATACTAGTTTCATTAGAAACTAAAGGCATAAACTGACTCATCTTACAGATATTTGTTATTCAAAAAGGAAGTATATGGAGGATTATTCGATTTGATCTTGGGCTTTTGTCTAGATAGATCCACTGTAGTCCTCAAATAAATATGCAACTTATTATGCAACTTATTTAATCACAATTTAATCTTGATGCGCTTCACTCTAACCAAAAGGGTACTATATATAGTACATTGAGGACTAAATGTGAACCAAATTACATATTTTTGGTGTCAAATTACGTTGAAATGTATATGGAGACCAAAAGGAGTTTTTATTTAGAACCAAATATATGTGAGGACTATATTCGATCCCAATTTTATTATCAAGAACCAAATGGAATCTAAAAAAAATTGAGTACCAAATTGAGTAATAATCCATGCCACTACGTAGTTTTGTAGACTTTCATAAAATTACGAGTACAACTGGTGAGAACAATAATGGATAGTGTGGAAAATGCTAAATGCAAGAGAAGTTATAAAAGAAGTGTGAAAAGTAAATAACCGAAAAACTAAGAGGACATGTGTTAAATGTCCCACACCGGAAAATTGAAAAGCACTAGAGTGCTATATTAAGCTTCGGGCTACTCCTCCTATCAGGTTGACCTTTTAGGATGGAACCCCGAGTCTTAACAACATGACTTCTAAGATCATCTTTAATGGGAACATGGATTGCTTATAAATGCATTGTCGCATCATATTGTGGTAAAATTATCTTCTCCGATGCAAACAAGTATATTGGCTGTGGTGTTGAGTTGGAATGGAAAATTCAAGACACCGTCTACCTCCCCTTCTAGTTTCAGCAGGTTGTCTCACAGTCAACCCAACATAACATTTACAAAGTATTTTACATTTTTTGCCGTAAATGTTTACTCCGTATAATAATGCCGAGTTTCAGTAGCCCACCAAAAGTGTAGGGCACACGCCTTTGGTCCTTCCGGCCACGCAGCACCCAGTTGCAATAGTGACCAAATGTAACAACCATCTCGCACCTTCCGGCAGCCCCTTGTGTTACGGCATCACTCCTCCTCTAGGCGGCAGGGCGCGAGCAGCCCCTTTATTCTCCGGTGATCTTCTCCTCCGGCAATATAATCTTCTTTTCCGACTCACTTTGTTTTCCAGCAAAATGTATGAGGAAGATGATGACTCCATGGATCTGGTCTGCTCTCAAGAGGCAAGGAAGAACACTGTATGCATTTAGCGGTTAAGTGTATACGGATCCATGGCTTGTATGGAATTTCAAAATTGTTGTATCTTTACGTGCATTTGGGTATATGTGAATGAAAACAGTTTGTGTTCTTCCGAGCTAGATGAGTTTGGTTCTGCTTTTTTTTAATTCAAAAACACATGCATATGTGTGTGTGAACCAAGCATTCCAGCCAAAATGGTTGTGAGGTTATCGTGCGTCTCGAATTCGAAACCCGCTAGGCACATAAGAGTTCGAAACTCTATGGAGTGATTCCTCCAGCCCCCCACAGACCCCGTAGAGTAAACAAAAATATATGTGTGTGTGTATGTGTGTCCATAAATATATACTTGTGTTAGTCAAAGAGTTCACTGGCAGCCCTTGTGAGTTGTGACTTGTGATGCGGCGGCACACCATTTCTAGGAGGCAGTGGCGGGATGAATATATCGTCTATGCGTGATAGGCTGTTTATATACTCCATGTGTCCATTTTTATAGAGTGCAATTCTTGGAGTGCTCTAATAATAGGGGTGGACTCGGGCCGGGCCAACCGGCCCGGAACCGGACCGGACCGCTACTGTGCGGGCCCGGGCCGGGCCAACCGGCCCGGAACCGGACCGGCCCACTACTGTGCGGGCCCGAACCGGCCCGGTGAACCGGTTCGTGCCCGGTTCGGGCCTCCCGGCCCGGTGGTATCGCGGTCCGGGTCCGGGCCTCCAGTTTAGTGAACCGGCCCGGCCCGGCCAGGCCCGGTTCGGGTCGGAATTTAATTTTTTTTTTTTTAGAATTTTTTTTAAGTTTTGGGTTGGATTAGGTATTTTGGGCCATTTGAGGTGGTTTGGGGTGGTTTGGGGTGGAGAGGGAGGGGTAGGGGGTTAAATAAGAGAAGAAGGAAAAAAAATTAAAAATCCGGGTGGCCCGGCCCGGTCTGGCCCGGAACCGGACCCGGAACCGCCCACCACCGGTTCGGGCTCGGGCCTCATTTTTCTGAACCGAGGCCCGGTCGGGCCCAAGCCCGAACCGGGCCCGAACCAGAACCGGTCCACCCCAGTCTAATATGAATGTAGTGGCAATTTGCAAACAATAGAAAATCGAGCATGCAATATTGAACTTCCATTTCAAGAAAGTAAAAGAAAAGATAGCAGTATATATCTTCAAGGGAAAAACTGATAGAGTGAGTTCTTCCAAGAAGCACTCGTACACATTTGAATTTGGGCGCATCAAGAAATGTGGGGGAAATAATGCAATGGCACAATAAAATATGCACACATGAGCCATGGATCATTAAAGATTAGAATCATTGAAAAGAATATATAATGGAATCATCACAAGGTGTGCTTTTAATAAGAACCAAGGATCAAAATTGCCGTCCCAAAATTTGTTGTTTTATACTCCGTATCTGTTACATCAAAATATTCCCGAGATGTGTAATTTAATCTATACCTTTTCTATTCCCTGTGTCTCGGGAAACAACCAAAAAACTGCTCCCTGTGTTTGTTGTTAGTGTCTAAATCTATCTAAACTTACACGGAAGGCTATATAATAAGAAAGGGGGGTAATCAGTAGCGCTAAAAAAACAAACAACTTTGTTAGTTTTACTATCTTTTGTGTATTGGCCTGCCTTGTTATAAATGATGAAATTGGTTGACAGCAGGAAGAGATATCAATTCCAGCAACCTCCATGGCATTGCAGACCCACTCTGGAACATCTCCTTTGGGGAACTACAGGTTATCAACAGCATTATAAGAGCTTAAGTAATGATGATAATAATAATACCAATAATAATAAACACTTGTTTTCTTGTTTATTTTGGTTCCAAAAACCCATTTTTTTTTCAAAAGCCATAAACACAAAAATTATGAGTTGATTGTATGAATGGATGATTACCATTTTCTGCAGAAACTGACATACATATCTGCAAATGAATATTTTGAAAGAGATTAACCAAATATTGAAAATAGGAAAAATTCACATGATTAAACCCACCTTTTCACGTTCTTCTAATATCAATCCCAAACATGAGTAATTCAAAAATAATCTAATTTATACAAGGTATCTTCCCAAAACAGACTGGTAACCGGAACACACAATTTTAATAGGTTACTCAATGACGTGTTCGAATCTGATTGGGTCAAGTATTTTTGCTTTTTTTTCTTTTCTTTTCCTCTTTCTTTATTTTTCTTCGCTTCCACCGACCCTTTCCGCTCCTTCGTTCCCTCTTCTCATCTTTCAATCTCCTCAATTCTTCCTCAGTTCCTCCCCTTCTTAATTTCTTCACAGCTTTCTCGATTTCTGCCTCTCATCTTCTTCCTTGTTTCGAATTCATGTGCAAATTCTCGCCCGCCAGCAGCTTCCTTCCCCTTCTTTGAAATTTCTGGACAAATTATGGAGGAAGAAACGTTGATAAAACATCTGGAAGAATTTGGTCAGCTAAGCCTTAAGTGCCACCATCCACGTCGCTTGTCTCCTTCTTTCATTTTCTTGTTGTAAAACTCTCTAAAAAATCGTGTTATTTGGTGCCATTGAAGCATCCAAGGGCTTCCGGCGGCATAATGAAGATGTGCCAACAGCTGGGCATTCAGAAAAATTGTCTCCTGTCATCAGCCTGTTACTCGATCTGTAAGGTTCATGGACTGTCCATCATCACCTTTCCTTCCTGATTCGAAGATGAATGCTTGGAATGATGAAGCTTTTTCTGGAAGAAAAGTCTCCGATGATACATGTCAGATTATTGTCCCTTTTTTATTTTTCTTGTTTAGTTTACCGTTTTAGCAGGTTGTGGGTAACTCGGATCAATTTGAGTAGACCTCATATTAATTTCAGATTATTTTAGAATAACGAATATTTGGGATTAATATTGGAAGAACGTTAATAGTTGGAACTATAACAGCCATACAGAAGAAATATATAGAGTTAGAGGCAACGTACGCTGGAAAGCGTCCTTCAAGAATTGAAAAGTGTAGATCTCTGCTAAGCTGCAAGGATACAATATTACAGTTCAAGTCCAATGATAAAGGTAATCAGGTAAGATGAAATTATCATGCTGCATGGGTAGATAGATACCTTCATCATGTAATACAAATTATGATATGACAAAAGCTGAGAACCCATTGCATCTTTCGTGACAAGGGAATGAATATAAGCCCTTGTATATGTTTTGCATACCTGTAGACAGATCACATCAGTAATTTAGAATGAAACAATTGTCAATACAAATGAGATAAAATACTAAGGGCCTGATTTTTTTTTGAAGGGGTAAGGGGCCTGATTAGAAGTCAGAGATCACATTAAAAAGAAATAAAGAGGAAATCAGAGAGGAAAGTAGGAATGAAAGAAAATTTGGGAGAAATGAAAGGATAAACTCAAGTTCAATGTATTTATTTAGATGTTGCTCAAACTCATACTCCCTCTGACAAATTAAGTTCATAGTTTGAGTTTACGGGTTTTTAGGTCAAACAACTTTTTTATTGACTTTCCAAGCATGCCCTTCCTAAAAGTATGATAGAGAAAATCAATAGTTAATGAGATAGGGGTAAAAGAGTATTTTACACTACATATCACCAAAAAGAGAAGTGAGAACTTAATTTTGGAACATCCCAAAAAAGGAAAGTGAGAACTTAATCGCAAGACGGAAGGAGTACTATTCATTTCTTTTTGTTCTATAATAAAGACTAACAAATCCAAGTATAAAAAATCAATTTTCCTTTCCATGTTCCAAGGTAAAGCCCAATAAAAGATACTCTGTGAACGTTGTTAACTATCCTTGGTATTTTCTTTTCACTGGCATTCCTGTTATCCAAACATACGCTAAAGGAGCATACCATACAATCACATGTAGCATCAATTGGACGGATGTCATTAGCCATTGCTTGGTGTTTAAGCTTCAAAACTCCCTGCATTTCAGCCAAAAATAATTAGGTTATGGATGGGATAACTCAACTCAACTGATTGTGGATGATACGATGTAATGATGTAATCACATATCAAGTTATCACCTCAGGCACAAGGGCTGTGCCAAAGCGAGCAGTGCGAGTAGGATAGACACAGTCATACATGTCAGCACCCAAAGCACTGCAAACTACAATATCCAAAGGGTACCCAACACCCTGGATCATACACAAACAAGATATGAGGTTAAAAAAATTAGAAACAAGAAGATACAATAACAATAAAGATACAATTATTATTATTCTATTTATCATCAATGGTATTATTATTAATGTTGTTGTTATCGTTGAAGTTGTCATTGTTGTTAGAATATCATGATAATGCCTCTCCAAAATAAGCTTCACGGTTCACACTTTGACTTTCATGGTCTTGAGTACCCGTCTTTAACCAATACTGTATGCAATTACATACACATAAAATATACTGCAATAATCATTTAATCTTTTAAAAATACTAAATTTCATTCTTTTCTTAAAGTTGCAATTGTTTGTGTCCGCACTTGATACCACACGACTAAGAACATTAATCTATTCACCGATATGCAAGTACTAATTTATAAAAACCGATATTTTGAAAAAATATACATTGAGACACATTTAACAACATTATATATAATATATACTCCGTATGTATAATGATTTGATTTTATACAGAATAAAATCACAGGTCAAAGTAGGTTACGTATATCATGCAAGAGTTAAGGTGTTAAATTAACAAAGAATGGAAGATATACAATATAACAAAATGGTGGAGACAACTTTCATATTATAAAATAATATGATAGATGAACATTTGATGGGCAATGTCAGAGGTTTAAGCTTGAAAGTTTATTTTGGGATGGAAGGCGAAATAGTAATAGTAATTGTCAAAAGAGATGTTCCAAACAACTGATATGCACCATGACATATCGTGGTTTATCCTCAGGCAATGCAGCGGTACACTGAGCCACAACACGCCAAAAAGAGTCTTTATCTTCACCGCCCGCAAGACCACCAATAGCATAACTGCGGTAGAAGTAATAAAAAAATTATTGTACACCATTGTTCTTAATGACCCACAATAGAATTGTTGTCACAGAAAGCTAACTGAACTATATCATATAAATTCAGTGGTCTAAATATCAAGATGACAAAAGGATATCTTCAACCAAACTAACAGTGAATGCCACATTCTTGCTTTTGTCAGTTTTTATAAGGTATGTTTGCATTGATTACCTTAGAAATCCCAATGCATCTGCCAGTAAAGGCCATGAATTAAACCATATTAAAGTACTAAGGCACCCCCACCCATAAATCATAATTATTATAATATCTTAAATGTAAAAGACATTAATGCAGAACCATTCTAAAAAATGTATAATCTTGACGTGGTAGAGAAACATTTTGTGCAGTTCTTAGTTTTTTAGGAGGAAGTATAGCAGAAGCAATAAAAAATACGCTGAAGAGCGCTCTTCTCTTGAAGTTTTGTTTTGTATGAAGGGCATGCGGAAATGTAACTGAACTCTTTAAGAAGACTATCAGCTCAATTATGACTTAAATTCAAGGTTCAAAATTGTGTATTGTGTAGTCAAGGCGATTTTTTGTTATTGCATATTGCGTAAGCCTCATTGCGCAATGAGGCTTACGCAATTAAGGCGTAAAATTTATATAAATGTGTGTGTGTAATATATACTAGTATAATACGGAGTATTAAGTTTCCAGAATATTAACCTTACATAACATTAACAACAAATTTCATATGTTTTTTTGAAAATAACAAAATTCATATTAACAAAAAAAATTAAATAATAGTAACATTAATATTAATATTAATATTAAGATAATATATAGTATTAACTTCCTATATCAAAACGATGGAAAATAATTCATTAACTACAATTAGGATGAAAACAATGACAATAAAATACTTAGGATGAAAATCATTTATTACTAACTACTAAAACAATGGAGTTAATTGAGAAGCCTAAAAGCCTTAACCATTTAGCACCTATTGCATTGATGAAGAAGCAGTAATGCAGGTCTTCTACTTAAGAGCCCTGTGATGCGCAGATGAAGTAGCAACAAGCCAGAAAGGCAGAAATGCAGGTTGATCTTCTGGAAGAAGAAGAAGAGTTAAGCAGAACTGGGGACTTGGATTTGTGAGTTGGTAACAAGCAACAGGCCTTAAAAATACTATTAACGAACTAAAAAAATAAAAAAGTGGGCCTATCAGCCCACAATTATTCTTATTTCTGTTGCGGACGTTTCAACACGCCTTATTGCGCATCGCTAGTTGCGTACACCTCTGCGCCATATAGCATACGATTCTTGACATCTGCCTTTAGCCATGCAATTGTGCGCAATTCTCCTGAATTTGGGCGAGGCACGCCTCATTGCGTAATTGCATTGCGCAATTTAAAACAATGCTTAAATTATAAAATACTATCAGTGTATACTAAAGATGATTTAATTTAAATGAAAGTATACATACCCAGGCAAATCACGATCCACCAGACCCTTGACACAGATATCTCTAAGAGGAAAAATAGGTTATAAGTAATAATTTCATTAATAGGAATATTTAACAATAACCGTAGAATAAGGACATTTAAGTGAAATCACCTTAGCACTGGATCTACACCGCCTTGGACAATGCCGAACAGATTCTGCTCAAGTGGTCTTTTGTGAGCTGTCCCGTATAACAAAGTTATTGCCGTAATGGAGTTATTCACAAAAGTATGAGGGGCAAATGAAGAATATAATCCTTGTTTAAAGATTTAAAAAAGCATGACAGATAACCACTGATGATTGATCAATTTTATGTTTTAACATATTGAGCTACTTTCTTTTTGCATTTTTGGCAAAATATACAGCTTAAATTGTTACAATCTTTCTGTGAACTGCAAGTGGTGCAGATGTCTTCTTCCTGAAATATAGTTGGCCCTGATTCCGGCTCTTGGATATGCATTTGCTAAGTTAAATCAGCCCATTTCTTTGAAAAAACTCACTACCTGTTAAATACGGAGTATCATATTACCTGCAATGCACCTGTCTATCCAGCGAAGAGTTCGATACATTGCTTCCTCCATTCTTGGACCTGTGGTTGTGGTTTTTACGACATCATCGAGAGCCATAATAATATCTGCTCCAATTCTGTTCTGCAATATCAAGTCATTCAAGTGTGCATGATAAAATGTGAAGTGCCAAATTCAATCCTTTTACCATTGAAATCAGAAAATGTGCCAATTTTAGTTCTTTGTAAAACTAATACCTGTATATGTCAGGACTAAGTGTGCTACGTTTTAAAAGATTGAAAATTTAATTTGGCTTATTTTGAACTTGAATCCCAAAAGTTAAAAAAAAAAAAAAAAACATACTACCTCCGTCCCATTTTATGTAGGGGTGGGATTTTGGAACCGGGAACCGTAGAACCGATTGGAACCGAACCGTTAACAACATCTAGGAACCGAACCGTTAACAATTAATGCCTCATTTGTAGGAACCGAACCGAAGCGGGTTATAACGGTTCAGTTCTCGGTTCCTATAAAAAATATGTGCATGGAACCGTTAAGGAACCATTATTAAAAAAAATAAAAAAATAATAATATTAGTAGTAGTAGTAACAATAATAATAATAATATAATAGCAATAATAACCACCGCCACAACAACAATAATAAAACAATATAAGATATTTAACTTTTTTTTGTCAACGACACCAGAGGGACATCTATAAGATATTTAACTAACAATTCTAATTTAATCAACGGAAAAGAAGTAATAAATATTGTACATGAGGTTGATATAATACATTAAACTCCTTTCTACAAATCAAGTTTTGTTCCATCACATAAATTTTATAAATATAAAATAACCCAAATAACTTGTAGTTGATTGCACATATTTTACTTTACTATTTTCATGATATTTCTAATTATTAGATTTATTATGAATCAATATAATGTAATAATGTTTTTTTATATCTATACATGCAAACTCAATGTCTTTTTTTTATGTTATGAAAGACTTGAAGTAGACGTCCTATTCCTGCTACTATGATGACGAGTAACCTTATCGCTCCGACACTACAACGATTTTTAATGTTTAATTTATTACATGAAAATTTAAATCACTTTTGTTCTATAAAGTGTTCAAAGTTCATTAGTTAAGTTTGAGCTTTGATGTTTGAAGTGATTAGAGCTTCAAATAAAATTTTAATACTCGTGTTTTAAATTTTCGACGTGTTTAAAATTATGTGTTAATTCTTAGACGAAAAAAAATTATTCTAGGAACCGGTAAAAGGAAGAACCGAACCGTTTACTACCGGTTCGGTTCCATAACGGTTCTTGATTTTTTTTATAGGAACCGAACCGATTTCATTAGTTAAAACTTTTATAACGGTTCCACTCATTTTGAGTAAGAACCGAACCGGTCCCAACCCTAATTTTATGTGTCTTAGTTTGACTTGGCACGGTTATTAATGAAGTGGTTGAAAAAGTAAAAGTTGTGGTTGAAGTTTGAGTATAATAAAGTGAAATGGTGTAGACCACATATTTCTTTCCAAAAGAGGAAAGTAGACACTTATTTTGGGACAGCCCAAAAAGGAAAGTAGGACAGGTAAAATGGGACGGAGGGAGTATTAGTTAAGGGGCTCTATCTGGAATAACCTTGAAAATAGTCCCAAGCTACGAACTATATGATACAACAGAAAAAAATTAGCTTATTAACAAAGTCCAGCAAAGCTCAATTACACAATCGATAAAAATACCATAGGTGCTTGCTACAGAACATCTAGTTGCTGAATGCATCCAATTCTATGCTTAAGAGGTGTATTTATAATCATATAGGGTTTGCATTGGATGAGTGGGGTTTTACATTTCAAAAACAATACACAATGTACCTACTTGTATGTGTATTGACTCTTCAGGTGTAAGAAGCATTGGTTTTCCATCCACTGGAGACTGCAAAAGTTTAAGTTGTCACCACTCACCAGTAACAGAGAATATGCAACAACATCCAAGCCTTAATCCCAAAAGAGTTTGGGGTCAGCTACTCAGCTCAATAACAGAGAATATGTAGATGAAAAATTGAAAGCATGGGTATTTAGTACAACTAGAGGTACAATTTGTACTGAACTACATAGCTTAAATTTGACATGTATGAGAGCAGAAAGCCAGAAACTACCTGAAAAGTAACACCTTCTTCAGTAATATCAGCCAAATGCAATAGAGAGACCTGAAACCGGTGATTCATTGATATGGGTAATTATTTGTGATAAGTGTAAGGACAGAAAATGTCTATTAAAAAGTAACCAAGCAAAGTATACAAGTAATAATTACTCAAGGCATCAAGTAAAAAGTATTTTAGGAGAAAACCATTTGAAAGCCTCCAGAATCAGTCAGCATAGCCCTTGGCCAGTTCATAAATTTGTGCAGCCCCCCAAGCTCATCAAGAAGTTGAGAGGTAGGACGTAGTTCCAGATGGTAGGTGTTTCCAAGAATTATTTGGCAACCAATATCCTCGAGCTGGTTGTTTGTCAAGCCTTTTATAGTCCCTGCAAGCCAAAAATTAAAAAAAAAAAAAAAAAAAGGCTGTATTAATGGTGTCATAAGATTGAGGTGAAGAGTACTTTTAGGGTTAAATAAAGGCTGGGGCGATCTTGCCTTGAGTTCCAACTGGCATAAACAGAGGCGTTTGGCAAACATAATGAGGGAGTGTGAGACGAGCTGCTCGGGCACGATTAAACCTCCCAAGAATCTGAATTGATAAAGATTCAAGAAAGGCTTCTTAGCTGGGGAATTAGTAAACTTTATCAACTACGGCACTGTTGGAGCCCCCTTATTAATTGAAAAATAACTCTTGCGATCCCTCATTAATTAAGTTAAGAATAAGAAATATTATTGAAAAGGAACTCTTGGGGTCCTCCTAATTGATAAGTTACTCCTCATTGAGAACTTAAAAGAACCCTAGAATATGTTGAGTAGATGCCTAGAATTCTCTCGTTGTTGTAGAAAGTTACATTTACAAGTTTATTCTATAAATTATACTCCGTAAAAGCTAACAAGTTTCTATAAGTTTATTCTGAAAACAAAACAACCAAATAATGAAAATGCTACATATATAACTCGGGAAAGACAGTTCCAGTGAAAAAACTTGTGCTCCAAAATGTTTAGATAGCAATCAACAAGCGCCGTTAGGCTTTATCAAATAGATGTATTAAAGATCACAGATTCACAGGCCTATACCTCAAATTGGAGAGCCACTGAACACTTCCCGCTCCTCGAAATCCGTCTATATCCAATGCTAAAGAAACAAATTTTACGGCATTGAGACATAAATATAAAAGTAAAAATTTATGAAACAAAGCTCAAGAGGATCGACCTGCGCAACAAGAAATGTAGTAAAGTCCTAGAGCCATTGGTGATTAGACGAAACATAAAGCTAATCGGATGAGAACTTGTAATGTATTGCTGATACAGGAGGAGGGAGGAGGACGGCTGCCCAGCGCAGGTGTGCTCAGAATTCGAACCAGCGAGTGCCCTAAATTTAGCATGGCGGCATGGCGCGGCAGCGCTTAACACTAACAGCTGATTGGATTCCGAAATTTCAGGTGTGAACTTTGACGGTTTGACCTTGGATCGTCAACGAGCTGAGTTGGGCGGTTGGGCCAAACCGGTTCAAAACAAATGAGTATGAGTTGAATGGGCTCAATCTATTATACTAGGAAAAACTGTCAAATAGATCCTTGAACTTTCATAAAAAAGTCAAATAAGTTCTTATATAGGAGACTCTGTCCGGCCGTGGCGATTTGGGGCTGTTCCCGGTAGAAATTTTTTATGAAATTTTTAGAGCATCTTATTCATAGTTATCTTCAAGAATTAATTTGAATGTGTTCCCGATTGAAGTTTTAGCTGAAATTTGGTATGAGTAAACTAGATTTGATGAATAAGATGCTCAAAAAAATTCATCAAAATATTCCACCGGGAACCGCCCCAAATCGCAACGTCCGGACAGAGTCTCCTATATTAGGACTTATTTGACCTTTTTATGAAAGTTCGATGACCTATTTGACAGTTTTCACATTATACTATGTATCTATTATAATCTATTTCTATTATAATATAAAAGAAAAAAGTTTTTGGAGTTGCTTTTCCCGCTCAAAAACGTCGTTGTCGGTGGTTTGTGGTTAATCTTAACCTATCTTAATAAAGGCCAGTTTTCTTATTAAATGCTAGAGTATCCCATATAACAACCCTCCCCCGATTTACATTCTTCACCGTCCAGTTTCATAGTTGACGGCGTTAAATTTATTTACCCACCGTCAAACCAAGTATATCCGTCAAACTATTGTGAGTGTTATCTATTGTTTCAACTCTTCACCTGCATGAGCTTTTAATTTTTCTCCAAGACTCGTTTCCCCTACCAGTGCATCTCATGGACATTTCACTCCCGTTCAAGAAGATGTAGCGTCTCTTAGCAACTTAGTTTTACATTTAGTTGGCTTTTAACCTATCTCTATGAAAAATATAAGATATATTGGGATTCAACTTCCATTTATCCTCTTCAATTCTCACGATTGTTGATCAGCAATCTCTGAGGTATATTATAGTACGTATTATGCTATTGTGTACTATTTAGGTACGGAGTATTAATTTTCTTTGTGCCTTCTCCTTTGTTTAATGGCTCAAGGATTACATTTTTAATATTTTAAAGGTAGTGCAATGTTTGTGGGACCCGGAGTGTCTGCCTGCCTTTAGAGCAAGGCACGGTGCCCGGCCATTTTGAGCCGACCGATCAAATCTTTAACGGCCAGAGATCTCCGGGTGTGCATCTCAAAGCTTCCTCTTCCTCATCGGACGGCTCCCCTTCGGCAAGATACTCTGCGTAGTAAATTTACCAATATTTACCCACCGTCAAACCAAGTATATCCGTCGAAATTATTTTGTGCTCTACGTAGGTAAGTTTGGGATTATTCTTTGTGTTTTTAATCTATAAAAGCAAAAAACTCTCACATTGAATGTGTTCTGCTGCATTTTTATGCATGCTTTATATTAATTAAGACTCGACTATGCTTAAATGGTCTTCACAAGTTCATATGAAAGGAAACTAAAGGCATACCAGGTGTTTGTTAAAATGCCAAGGTTATTTCATTGCACTTGCCTTCAAGTACAATTTTTTAAGGTAGATTATATATATGGTACCCATAAGGTACCATGTCTTTGTCCACATGGACCAATCAAAATGTTGCAGTTGAATTATTTAAGTCTAAATTAAAAATGATATACTACGTACCTATTTGGACCAATCAAGTGAGTGGTAGGTACGGTACCCCCATTTTTTAAATGGGTACCGGAGTTCTCACCATTTTTTAATCTAACACATCAATTTTTACTTCTCCTAAAGATTGAGTTCACTTAAGCTTACCAGCTTAGAATGATATATATATATGTGTTGTTTTCAATGACATGCAACCATATTGACATGTTTTCAGCTCCCGAGACATATTCAAACAACAAACCTTTACATAACAAAATCACTTGAATTAGAAGAGTACAGAACAAAAATGTTATGTTCAAAAAAATGCTTATACATATAGAAATGAGTTTAGGATTACTTTAGAAGGTCACAGGTTCCAATCTCATCCCAGTTCAAGGATGTGACATTAACATTAAGCAAATACTATATAGGTTAGAAAGAATTGTCCAAAAAAAAAACTAAACCCACTAAATATTTCTTTATATACCTAATAGAGTACTTTTGTCGTTGTACATTTCAATTTATGAACCTACCTAAATTATATCCACATAAGTCTAGCTCCTGGTTCATAGTTTGCAGGAGCTCTTTTCCTCATGAACTAGGAATTGTTAGTCATATTACATGTTTGTTACTACAATGTGACTTGTTGTTTTCAAGTGGGGCGGGACTGGTAGTAAAATTAGTAGGGATGAAACTTCCAAAATGTTTAGATATTTAGTATCTATGTTGGGTATAAATTGTACAATGCTCATTTACAGGGGTGGAGACATGGAGGGGCTGGAGGTGGCCACGGCCCCGGCAACAAAAAAATTCTTAAGTATATATTATGTATAAATATTTTTAATCTGTAGAAAATATGTTGATATTTTAAACTTTGGCCCCTGTAATATAAAATTCTTAAGGACCGGCCCCTTTAACCATAAATGTCTGGCTCCGCCACTGCTCATTTAAAGCAAAAATATAACTGTAAACACTAATTAGAAACTTGAATTTTCCAAAGAAAGCATATAGATTATGCAATATTAAGCAAAATGGCTTATTGGCTTAATATGAGTTGTAAACTATACATCCAGGACACTGCACTAGGTCAATGAAGATCAAAGCCGCTATTTATTTTGATCCACGACCATAACGTCCTCAGACTTGCTTGAATCGGTAGGTGCAACAAAGAAGAAGCACATCGAGCGAGTCGAGCATGCCATCTATTACGCAGGACGTATCCCTGCATCTACTTTCGGTTGGCTTATCTTCTCTTTATACCATTCTTCTCAGAAAGTTCTATTTTTTAGATTATTCTTATTATATTCTTCCTCGATACATATTACCAAACCTATTTTCAATTGTGCAAAATTAAAACCTAAAAAATTATTAAGTTCAAAGCAAGTACAAGTTGGGCATATTACATTCGCGCAACGCGCGAACAACATTCTAGTTGCTTTATAATCCAGAGTTTGGTGAGGGTTTAATGTGTAAGGTTTCCTAAACTTTGAGCGATGTGTGTGAGAGTTTTGTGTGAAATAGACGGATGGAGCAAATTGAGCCACTATTGAGTGATGGAGTATATAGGCCCAGACCCTATGGCCCACATACTCAGAATGTCAAAACACCAGAAAGGGATGCCCATGTGGCACTCTTTGGCCAGATGAGCCTCACATCGGCCAAGAACTAAAAGTCACTCCGAACACGACCCGAATACAAAGTGGGTCCCCATCGGCTGGGCATTGCATCCGCCAGAGGGATTGCATCGGCCACGAAGTGCCCTGACAGAATATATCTTTACGCTTAATCTAGTAAGTCATGTACTCAGCCCATTAGTGGCTTTATTATGTCCAAAAGGGGCCTTATTATCGTAATGGACCTCCTAAGCCCCAAGCTCGGAGCCCAAATTCACATTTACTCCTATAAATAGCTCCCAGGGGGTAGCTATAGGGTTTGAAAAATATTAATTGCTCAATTTCTCTCTCTAACTCTCACTTCTCTCTGGAGTTTTAATACTCTATCATTTGGATTTGGTCAAGATTTTCCACTCACCTAAATGTTTTTTCATTGGTCATTTTTTTTTGTTTGAGATGGGGAAGTATTGTATGGATTTTTTCAGCATTTCCCACCCACCTGTGTTTCATTGGACATTTTTTTGTTAAACAGTAATAACTTCAATACGTGTGGGGGTTTAAACGGCTGAGCGCTTGGGTGAATTATTGTGAAGGATATGGTGGCGCTGTTTAAAATTCAAATTTTAAATAGTCCCCCCCCAAGTCCATAAACAATTCCTATTGGTTGAATGACAAATGCACATTGTTTGGGTTTGATTGGCCAGGCTTAGTTCAGCGGTTACAAATGGAGCAACACCAATGTTACAATCACCACGGCGCATAACTAGCAAATCAAACATAAACACAAGAAAGGCTTCTAAAAAATGTTTGGCATGTGGTCCCTATTATGTGAGATATACCAGAGCAAAACAACTTGGACAATCAAGGCGAGAGCAATACGGGTGTACTGAGAGCCGGCTCATGACTATTTTCGGGAGTCATTGGAGATCGTGTTTCATGACGAGGAGGTTTGAGTGTTTATGATTTACTTTCATAATCATTTTCGTCTACTTTTTCAAAAAAAAAAATGTTTACACTGCTTTGAATTTCGGGGATCCAAATGCATGCACACATTCTGGGCCAGTTCATCAACAAGTTTATCGTCATTTTCAAGGAGGGGCGAGTATTCACGGTCAAAAACTTTATGGTGGAGGAAAATTATATGTTTTTCAAAACTACAACAAGTGTTTAACAAGAGTGTTGCGTTTGAGATCAAGGGAGTCCCATTCCCCACAAGGACTTTCTCTTTGGTGTCTTTTGCTTCATTACAAGCACTAGACAACATCGATGAGAAATACGGAATTGGTGTGCTTAAAACTTTGTCTTTCAAAATATGATACCAGTTTTCATTTATCTACATCAACTCAGGGCGCGGATCAGAAAATTAAACCATTGGGAGCAAAAATTAAGTAAGAGTAAGAAAAATTCTAATTATTATAAATCAACTTTAAAAAGATGGAAATAAACCAATGTTAGCATACTAGAAAATATTTATTACATTTTATTACAATTGCTCTTTGCGAGTTTTCATTTTTTGAAAATGCTCCATCACAACTTCATTCGTAACAATATCAAGCACATTTTTTCAACATAATAAATAAGACAATCATTCAAAAACTGGTCACCAATCCTATTGCGTAGACTTGACTTCACAATTTGCATCCCAGAAAAGCATCTTTCAACAATGGCAATTTTGACTTCACAATTTGCATCCCAGAAAAGCATCTCTCAACAATGGCAGTTTTGACT